AAGCAGATGTTTTGAGAATGATGATGGCAACAAATGTGCAAATGTGCTTGACACAATGGATGGATGGATGGATTGTGATAAGCGTTGTACGAGCCCCCAATAAATGATTAAGAAAAAAAAGTCAAATATAAATTCACACACTCATTCAAAAAAACAAAATGTATTCCCAAACTACTCATTCAGCTTAATTTCCTACTTACTACTCCCCAAAGTGACGTTCTATTTTCTAGCAAGTTTCCATTTCTCATTGTCCCTTGAGGATGTCAGACTGACAGTCATCGTTAATACAGACTTACTCTATTATGTCGTTTATACCAACATTTTTCTGGGTTATGCCGATCCCCACTTTCCCTTAAGTCTTCCACAGTCACTGTGTTGCATAGTTTTATTGATTTATTTTTTATGCTGCTAATGTTTCAAAGTAAGAAATAGAGCAAATCACAGTTGCTGAAATTAAAAAAAATAACGAATCCTCTCAAACGTATTCTGTATTGTTTAAGACCACATAAATTAATCTTCAGGTGTTGCTCTTTCCCTGTGTTCTGTGCTCTAGGTTTGGTTCTTTGACAATGGATGGTGGCCTTCGCAATGTGGACTGCCTTTAGCGGTCTCAGAAGTTTGAAGGGCGTTTCCGTTTGCACACGAAAAGAATGCTGGGGCTTTAAATGAATGCCTCTGTGAATGGTCTCTTGTTTTGACAATTCAGTATTTGGAAATGTAAATATGTACATTATTGTAAATATATTTAAAAAATACTAATTTTTGGCTGCTGTTAAAATGTAATTTTACCTTTGAACATTTATAATTACATGAGGGAACTTGACCTCAGTGAGCACTAGAAGAAAGCCATGACCAGTATGTGGAGATACTGACCCTCTACTCTTCGATAGAGGTCTGACTAGGGCTAACTAAGTCATACTGCTCTTGACTGCCTACTGGGAACGTTTTTAAGTGGAGCCAAATGGCGTCTGTACAGATCAGCGGTGTGTGTGGTTGACATTTGTAACTGGAGTGTGGAGGAGTGACGTCTGTGAGGGGGGAGCAGAACCAGCCACTGTTTTACTCGGATCACGATTATTTTGAGAAGGACAAAAGGGCATTATGTCATTTCATAGGGTGTCCATGTCGCCAGTTGTCCTTGTATCTCTTTAATTTCAGGTGATGAATTATTGAGGGGAAAAAAATTTTTTTTGAACAAAACATTTTTAAGTGATTTAATTATAGAAACTATCTTTCTTTGGGCTATAAAAGTATATACCATAGCAATTTTTATGTTTTAAGGTATAAGTTTTTTCCTTTAATTCTGCTTACCACTTCATGAAAAAATATCAATAAATTTATTGATTGTAATATAAAGAGTTTGTGTGTATCTGTACAGTTGAAGAAACAAGTTACTTTTGAGAGAAATGATGGTGGTGGTAAATTATTCTTAGAATATTGACTGTTGGGGCAATTGTCTCATAAATCTGCAAACTTAGAATTATTCTATATATTTATGCCATAAAAATTAAAGGATACGTTCTCTTTGAAAGAGTTCAGACTAAAAGAGATGATTTTTGTCTACTTGAGGGTTTTCATTTGTTTTTGTTTTGGTCTGTGGTTTGTCAGACTATTGAAGTGTGCTTAGACACAGTGTGTGTATCACAAAAATATCGTGATAAAGAGTAAGCAAATTTGACTATGATGAACATCAGAAAATAAATTTGCATTAGAAATTGAAAATGAATTAAGCTTTTATTTGAGGTCATTGATGCACTATTGTAGTATGGAATTTTGAGTCTCACATAGACACATATAGCAATAAATGCCTGGGTTATTTATGTAAATACAGTTATCCACTTTGCTGAGTGTGTGGTGTAAGGGGATGTTTAATGCCTCTTGATTTTAATTTTCCATTTGACTATACCATGATATACCTTTGATTGTCCAGTTCAAATGTTCATGTCACTGAGCATTAGGTCACTAGCATCAAATTATTAGTGAATTAATATATGTATAGATTGAATATTTATTTTAGCAGCTCTAAAAAATGCTAAGAACACTTGCTGGGGGAATTATATTTTCTAATAGTTGTATTGATACAGACATCTGTTCCTCACTAGTATTTTTAAAAGACTGTTTTGTTCCCCACGACACTAAGGAAAGCAGACACTCCCCCTCCCCCCACAGCTTCTATTATGAATCTGGTGAAGGCTTCCAGAGCATATCAATTTTCTCTTCAGCAGTTCATACACGCTTTGTTTCACGTCACTGACTGCAAACCCTACAGTGTCACAGCACTTACCCATCTTCCTCAACACGAGTCCTGTTCCCACTCCTCTCCTAACCCATCTCCTCTGAACTTTGTCCTTAGGTAAATAAAGGCTGCCCTTTTCACCTCCAGCGGTTGATTATTCTAAGGTGTGTGTACTGTCCTATTATTAGGGCTCCCTTTGTAGGTGTCATTTGGCACAACATGGAGCCATGGGGGTGGGCGAGTTCATTTTCAGACCTAAAGTATAATGAGGGCCCATAGTCTTGGGGTTCCTTCCACCAGTAAGCCGGATCTGTTATGATTTTGAGTTTGGGGAAACCAACCATCTTGCTTTCACTAGTGGCCATCAAAATAATACATCCTTACTGAAAGTAAGTAAATACAAGGTGTTAGCAGTTTGCTAAACTAATTTTCATAGTAATTAAGTGAAATTACCTTTAAAATAAGTTGCAGCCTAAGTAGTATTTTTTTCAACATTGTGTTTCCAAAAGAGAGGGATTCGTGTATTCTTAGACCTTGAGTAAGTAGTGTACATGACAAGCAGAGGAAACAGAAGGTTAATGTCAAAGAGGTTAGATGTCTAAGATACAATAAGAAGTAAGTGTGACATAAATTATTGTGAAGTATGTGGGAAGGCATAAGAAGAACCAGTGGTTAGGAAAGAAGTGTGAAAAATAATCCCATAGTATCATTAAAAATGGTCATTTTACATCAACTGGTTTTAAAATTACGAAGTGCCTCGGCACACTACCTCAAGCAGAGGGAGGGCCTCCTCTTAAATATAAAGATCTCAGAATGTTTTTAGAAAATAAGTCTTCATCAGTACGATATCCAGAAAAAAGATGACGGAATCCTGGCTGTTCCTAACTGTCGTCGGTGCAGGTTGTCCTTTGTTGTGTGGTCTTTGCCAAAAGCACAGGCATGTTTGCAGTGAGCAATTTCACCGGAGACGTCAGACTCCAAGCCAAATCAGAGCTGCCCTGATAATCTCCACTTTCACCCCATCTGCAGGTCTGCTGGTCCACATTGCACTTTTTCTTTGGGGAAATGCATGCTGTAGAATGTGTATAATCGTGCCAAACATTTTTAATCTGAGAAAATGCTGGAGCAGTCACTGCTGAAAAAAACATTCAAAGAAGTGGTTTGGGCTGGTAACCCTTACCGCCACATCCCTCTCGTATGAAGACCGAAACATCTGAATAAGACTCACAGTGTTGTTTTCGTTGGACTCTCGTCCACTTGTCACTTCTAAGAAGACTAGAAATCTAAACTCAAGAAATCCTCAAAGTGGATTGGAGGCGGCGGGGCTGGAGCTGGGATAGTGGAAACATCTGATCTGGAAATAAAAACTGGTAATATAATAATGTCCCTTGTTTTACTTTAGAGTGTAAATCAGCTTTTAAAATGTCTGTGGTTTATAAAAGTGCAGCCCATATATTGCGTCAGGTTGTTTTAGGCACAAAGCAAGCTGTGAACAGAAGGTACGAGGACCGACAGACGTGGCTTCGGGGGTGATGATAGGAACCTCAGCACACATTACACAGGAGGCAGCTAGACATTGGCAGCTGCTAGCATAAGATAGAGTGATCATGAGTAAGGCAAGTCAATTCTGACTCCTTAGCAACCCTTTAGGACCGGATAGAACTGCTCCTGTGCGTTTTCCAGACTAACTCCGCAGGAAAAGGGAGCCTCGTCTTTGCACCTTGGAGCTGGTTGGTGTTTTCAAAACTGCTCGCCTTGTGGTTAGCCGCCCCAAACAACCACCAAGCCACTGGGCTGAAATCCAAAACAGGAGTCTGGGAACAGCTTGCTCGTTTATACATTTGTTTGTCTGGAAGAATCAATCAAATTCTTTTTGTTTGGGATACGTTTCTTCCCAAGTGGGGTGTGTGTATTTTAAAGTGATACAAACATCAAAGTATGGCTTTGGGAGGTATCCACTGTGCCCTACGAATTGTCATCAACAGTTCTGTCGGATGCAGCCTTAGTGGACCCTGGGTTCTTCACTCTGGAGGACAAAAAATGTGTTTGAAGAGAGTGGTGTCGTCGGTGCTTAAAAATTATCAAGTGTTGATTTAGTTAGAGGAGTTTCTGAGGCTTAAAACTCTTTCTTTAGAAAGAACATCTATTAATACAGTTTCTAGCCATGAGGGCTAAGGTCTAGAGGTCAAGCCTTAGGAATGACAGAGGAAGGGGATTTAGGGCTAACAGGTGGTCTCCAGACATACTGGCTGAAAGAGTTCACAGCTACAGTGTCTCGTGTGGGTGTTGCTGCGCTCCCTCCTCTGAGCTCTCTGGAACTCTTGAGTTCTGCTGATGGCCATAAGAAGTGACTTTAGCGAGACCTTCAGGAGACTAGCCCGCCTTTTTTATTGGTTCCCCAAGGCGCTGACCTGCTCCAAGAACCGGAAAGCCACGTTGTTCTGGCACCAAGGTGGAGGTAAGTTACCTCAGGCTAATACGTTGTTTCACATGTTTTCGAGGACTCAGGTGGGCCTTCAAAGGAGAGGAAAGAGAACACTTGAAATTTGAGAAGATTAAAAAACTCTTTAAAATGATCTTTAGGGAAAAGCAGGATAAACTAAAAAGCAATTAGAGGGTGAGGTATTAAAAGCAATGAACATTTCTTAGCCAATTGTATGCCTTTTAGGCATTCACATTCAGAAAGGGTTTCCAGAGCAAAATGGAGATGGTTTCCCTTGGCAAAAAGCCTGTGAAGGAAGTTCTTCTTTTAAGTAAATGTTTGTTTATTTGTGATGCTAAAACACTTTAAGCAGAAAAGGGCTTGTAAACGGCCCGTTGACCTACTTCTGTTTATGGGGATCAGTATATGTGGTGTGTTTTAGTCCGGTATTTCTTGAGGTGGGACGTGCTTTCAATACCCCTGCCTAGAAAATGCCTTTATCCCTGTCTGCTGGCTGCTCCTGTCTAAAAGACCAGAGGTGGTCAATGCCCTCTCCAAGCCTAGCTTACGACGCATTTCAGCAGCCCGTTCTCTCCTTCCTGCTACGCAGCAGCAGACTGTGGACGTAGCATCGAGACTAACTGTTTCATCTTGTGACTGAATGGACCTCCTAATTATGCATCATGCCCGTGTAACTCAGCATCTCACCTAAGTGTCTAATACTTACCCACTGTCTGGCCGGTCACCGCACATATCTGATCATTTGATAGACTAGAGTAGCTGATAGTTTTATCACGGATAAAACTAGAGTAGCTGATGTGTGGGTTACCGAGGACATGCAGCCACACTTCAGAGACGTGTGTTCAGTTCCAGAATGCTGCGATAGAGGGAAGATCACCAAAAAGTGAATGTTTTGGCTTCCAAGGACATATGAAAGTTTTATTTGCATTATGTTGTGATCTCGTAAGGGTGCTAACGGTACCATTGGGAAAACATCAGAAATTCTCAGAATTACAAAAAGGTGACACAGACAACGTGGACACATGCTGTTGCCAAACGGGTACCAACAAATTTGCTAACAGGGTTGCCACAAACCTTCTCTTTGTAAAACACCACTCTTCAAAACCTACTAAAATGAGGTGTGTATCTGTCGAGTTAGGACATTTCTAAAACCAGTCATCTGTTTTCCCCTATTTTAATATTTTCTTTCATAAAAAATATTCAAATTATGAAGAACTTAGACGTTGGCCTGTTAAAAGTTCTCTGTTTGTATATGTCCATCCTCAGCTATGAAATAGCACAACTTGGGGTGTTAGAAAGCCATCTCCAGACTTCCCCCATCAAGTGAAACACCTAAGCCCCCAAAATGATGACAGACAGAGCCCCAGCTTTACCCCAAATCACCTCGCTCTTGAGGCAGTGCTTGCTTGCTTTCTCACCCCACAGTGCTCTGATGGGGGAACTTCAGAGAAGGGGAGCATATGAATTCTCACTCCATGCCTTACCCAGGGCCTTCATCAGTAGACTAGTCATCAGCCCCTAGACCTATGAAGTTTGGTCATTTGTTTTTCCATAATGAAGCTTGCTAGTCTTCTAAGTTTGGCAATTCATGGTTTGTTTCCAATCATCTCTTTATTTTATCCTATAACTTGAAGTTGTTGGTTTTTGAAATGTTACCCCCTTCTTATCATATTGAGGCATATGTCTTTCAGGATTCCATCGATTTTCCTCTCTGATGTGTAGCAGGGTTTTTTATGGTAAGAAGTGCACTGTTTGCTTTACCGAATTGATTAATGAAGATAGCCATATGCAGGTTTGAGTTAGATAAGTTAAATGGATAAATCAACTCTTAGAAATCTGCTTACCCTCAGGATC